AGCAAAGCCCCATTTAAATGAAAGCAAAGTAGCTTCTCACAGCAATGTGGTATATTTGTTAAATAGTGTTGTGCAACAAAGGGTTTGGTTTGTGTTCTTAGTTCCCATAGGCAGCAAAATCACTTTGGTAAACTCAAAAACCTTCGACTGCAACAAAAGACACCCATCCCCAAGCCCAATTCTATCAGCGTTCCTTTCATTGCCAATAAGCAAGAGGGAGCGCAAGTAAGTTCATCAAATATAATCTAGGACTTAACTAGAAATGTGTGGGGGATACTTTCAAGTTGAGAAATCTGGTTTGGATCTGTGTATTGTTTGAAGCCTAGGAGACCCTAAGAAGCTGCTTAACATCTTCCCATCTATATATTGTAAATATTAACATGGCTTGAAAGAAGGGCTAGTTTATTTTTGGGGTTAGAATTAGAGGGTAGGTCCTGGTTTCTCTCTGTGCTCACACCTGCATTCAAACCATACGGGATCAAAACCAATATTGTGTTAGTCACTTTTATCCCTCTCTCCTTTGGCCATCTGAACAGGCTGCATGCTACTGAAACGAATTGTGGATTTATTGCAGGGAAATTAGCATAAATTATTACCAAACCTGTAAACGTGTGGGGTCCTGCTTTTGGGGAAAACAGAAGTCTATTGCTATCCTTTCATGCAGAAAGCTAAGCTTTACACATCATGATGGAAATACTGAATAGCTGTGGTTGGAAGAAGATTCCCATTTGCTTAGCACATTGATATAATTGACTTATGTGTATTTTATGCTGTTTTCCCAACAACGGTTCAATCTTTTTATTCAAATGAGACTCCAGAAATCCCTCTTTTTTGTATTTGTTTTGCATTCCATCACAAAGAGATGCGTTCACTTTCAAAAAACACCCAGTACACACATTTCCCATTCTATTCATTCCCATTATTAACACCAACAAGCCATAGTGAAACACATTTTGCAATACACACCACACGATTTTTGACATTTCAAAGGAAGCAGTGGTGTAGTTATACCCCAACACTCTAGAAAAATTTGACTAAAAAGTTGGGCTATATTTACATTCTTATGGAAACAGACTTTGTGCACAATAACACATTTAAACATGAATGCCATATTGTAAATCTCATAAATGAGCTCTATATCTCATAACACAGAGCACATAATTAGATGCATTGATTGAGTTTTTAAAAAGTAAAACTCAAAACATACAGTGTTAACAATTCAGTTTGCACAGAGATACAACAGCCTGCGATATATAAACACATGCAACTTACATGTACTGCACATACTACATACATACATACATACATACATGCATAGGTTATATTTTTACACCCAATAAATATGTTTATTTTTATTTAAGCATTGTGCAAGTTTGTAAATAATTATTATGAGCAATAATATAGAAAAAAATATACGTGGTTATAAAGCTGTAATCATTATCTGATTTTTAAATAATTGTGACTACTTTAAAAAAAGAAATACAATTATTAAACATGGAAATTGTAAAGTTAGGTTAAGTGAGAGCACAATCAACAGGTCATTCATTAAGCATATGGACAAAAAAATATATGTTCTTAATATACTTCACTAATATTAACAATATAAATAAATTAAAATATTGTATTAATCTATTCATAATAGTTAGAAACACTGGTTATGTGCACAACTAATTCCCTTTAATCCTTCAGATTTACTATTTTCATTTATTCATCCAACTGTCACCAATCAATTGTTTATAAAAATAATATTGTTACTATTTTCTATTTTAGGAAGGTAAAAATAATATCAGGGCTCTTGTTTGGTACCTTATTGGTTAATGCAGAGGGAAGAAATATTGGGAAGTATACAGGTCAGGATTTCTGCAAATGATTATTTTCTTTTACCTGAATTTAGGAGGTCATATTGTGCTAGTGCTCAAGTGCTTCTGTTAATATTGGGAAACGTGTTTCTGCATTTCAAGTAACTAATCTGAATCACAGTAGCTATTTCAATACTAATGAAATTGTTTAATCTCCTAAATTCATCGTGTTTAAGTAACGATTTGGTGATTTACTGACCAGCAAGGAAAACTGTCAATAATGTTTTTGCTTGTCCCAACACATCTTTTGTTCATCTACATCTAAATGTATGAAGCCCTCTGGGGTTAAAGATACCTCATTTGAAAGGTAATTTACACCCAGTTGACATACTTGGAGCAATAAAACATAAAGTCACATAGGTGAACTACTATGTAGAATTAGCTGCCCAAGGATTAAAGAAAACATCCTTAGTTTGAACCAACATTAAAAGAAATTATTACCAGACACCAAAACATTAATCAATTTTGTGTCTACTAACAAATATTGATATGTCAGTTTTCTGAGAACATGACAAATAATTAACAGAAAAAATCAACTGAAAAAATTCTGGTAAAATAATAATACATTAGATTGTTATGAAGTCTTGAGCACAAGCTACCTCAAAAATGATAAAATGTAAAACTGTTAACTGTCAGTGTTAAAAAGTTACTTTTTTAAGTGATTTTCTCCTTAATATAAAGCATAACGTTTAGTTTTTTAAGCATGCATACAGCTAATTCAAATATTTATATAGAAACATTGTAAATATGAAACATGGTATTTTACAGGTAATAATCATGATGTTAGGTCCATTTGTTTTAACAGTAAAACTATGTTCTTTGTAACAATGACCTATGCTTATTAACCAAGTGTGAATTGTTTTACAACTATTGATAACTGAAATAATTTTCACTTAGGTAATATAAAGAATAAAAAGTACCGTATTCTATCCAGAGATGACAAAATCTATTTTGTCAAACACACTTTTATACAGTTTTGTAAGACTTCGTGTGCAACTGCTATTAAATACAAGTGTCTTGATTGATGTTTTTTATGTATGTATTGACTTATTAACTTGTATATTTTCTGGCTTCAAAATTGTGTTATGTATTTTGATTATTTTAACAACTGAGATTTTATATGATATATTTGTTTATTGTGTTCTTAAAGTCAGTTAGCAAACATATTACACAAGTTGTTATTTGAATATAAAGCTGTAAATCAGTATCTAGTTTTTTTTTTTTTTCCTATTACAATTCTGTGATTTTTTTTTTGCTTTGGATAAAAGGACTGAAACTGCCGCCTTAGGAAGACCCTTAAACCTAGTGACAACTTATAGCAGGAACAACAGGAAATGCGAGATTCAGATGATTAATATCATGATAATCACCTGCTCAGTCCCTGAGAAGCAGAAGACTCAGAGTGTTGTACTGTAAGGAGAAGGGAGGGTTAATTGAGGCGAAAACTGCAAAGAGACAAGGACAGTGACAAATGCATTCTAGGTAGCTCACATTCACATGACGTTTGACGCGGGGTTAACTTTGTAAAGTTTTACCCCCTTTATGGATCATAAATACTAAAACAGTTACTTTTTCATGCAGGACATGCTTCTCTGTTTAGGACATATACACTCACAAATCTTGTGGTTAGGAAGAAGTGATAAAGATGCATCTTAAATCTTCAACATCTGGCTGTTTATCGGCTGTTTAAGTATAGAGTACAAGGTTATTATGTGCCTGAATGACTGGAGATTATCAATGCCTTCCCTGGGGATTTAGAATGGGACTGCATTAGAATGTAATGAATTGCTCTTATACCACTCATAGCATAACCCCTTTTCTGTATTAATCCATTATTGTCTATTTGTAACTTTTTAGCTTGAATTACTAACACAATATTTTTTCCTCCCCTCTGACCATAATTTGTTTTCTGTTTACATGCTCCTAACTTTGTACACAAGATCTGTCTCCATTACAAGTTTGCACTGTAGTGACACCACTAAAAAAGAAACTAACGAGAATATAATACATATGCTAACTCATATCATATAATCTACTGTTGAAAATGCAGATTCGTGTAATATTAAGATATGTGATTTGCTAAGCATACATCTCCTCTTGGATAGGAAACATACACTTGTTGATTGGGAACACACTATAAGAAAATTTGTGTACATTTCGATAAACAACTCAGCAATTCCATTATAATCTAAAAGTGTTTACTCAAAATAATGCACATATACAATGTGTTAAAAAATCTTTATTTTGCCAAAATGCACAATAATACTCTGTTTTCATTGTACGTGTTTCAAAATATACATTTTCCATCTAAAGATGAAAAACAAGAAGGCAATATAACAAATGCAGATATATAGATATGAAACAAGAGTGGACTGTCTATCTATCTATCTATCTATCTATCTATCTATCTATCTATCTATCTATCTACAATCTGTCAAAGGTATGTATATATTCACATGCACACCCAACACAAAGAGAAGAAGCACATACATGTGGCACAGTTCTATCATTTGAACCGGAAGCAACTATGGCTTTAAAAAAGGAAACATGCACTTACACTCTGCAAAGTAATAAGTACTATATTGACCTAATTTTGAAAATAACACCTATGTTTATATACAATGTTTATACTCACATTAAACTAATTTCAGCTAGACAGTAAAACAACATGAAACATACTGCATTTTTTTGCCTAGCCTGAGAAAAAGTGCCCTCCCCCTCCTGTTAAAAGTAAAAGCTAGCTAACAATACAAATCAGATAACAATATAGAACAAACAGAATACCACAGCCAAGCAATTTCCATGTCAAACATCCCACTGCTCAGTAGCTCCATTTGTAAGTGTGAATTGCAGACTAAGCTCCCTGCAATGCACACAGGAAGGTTGGTGCATACCTTCACACACACTGTTACTGGGTGCCATCACACTTCAATTCCGGTTGCTGAGCCTTTTCACCCCTTGCCTTGTCTTCAAATGGAAATTATTTCTATTGGCCCAAGGTGTCCATGTAAATAGGTGTAAATGAAACCAGATTATGCCTTTCTTTCCCCCACGCCCCCTCCTCTCTACTCTCCCTCTTCTCTGCTCCCTCCCTCCTCCTCCCAAGGCGATTGTCATATGATAGCAAAGAAGTGGCACATTAATGAAGCGCCTCTACAGGGGTCTTTTCTGTTCATGTCACCACATAAAACTATCAGATGGTTTGAGGAAGGACATGGACACAACTACTTAGCTTATCTCCCACCCAGCGAAGGAGAACTACTTTCTCCTGCTCCCATTCAACTGCTGCTCAATAAAGAAGATTATTTCTAATGCTAAAGACAAGATCGGAGTTTATCCAAGAAGGGACCAGTCTGGCAACGGATTGAATTAAGACCTGCAGTATCAGAAAAGAGACTTCAGAATTTCCTTTTCTGAACAATATCAAGAAACTCTGTTACCACTTTACAGATGCAGAGTATCAACTTGTGAAAAGTTTCAGGTATGACTCACATTTTATGCTGAACGTGTTTTTTTCTGGTGTGTGTAATATGCTAAGTAAACATGTAATTTACGGTACTTGCAAAATTATATTGACTGTAGTTTATGCATGTATAACAATTGGATTGGACATTTATTTATCCTGTATTAAAGTAGCTAACTTTACCAACTTTCCTTTCCTATATACAGGTTGCCTCTGAAAAAAGTGACAATGCCTCGACCAGGGAGAAATACGTACAGTGACCAGAAGCCCCCTTACTCATATATCTCCCTTACAGCTATGGCAATCCAGAGCTCTCAAGAAAAGATGCTGCCCCTCAGTGAGATCTACAAATTCATCATGGATAGATTTCCTTATTACAGGGAGAATACCCAGCGATGGCAGAACTCTCTGAGACATAACTTGTCATTTAATGACTGTTTCATCAAAATTCCAAGAAGACCTGATCAGCCTGGCAAAGGCAGTTTCTGGGCACTTCATCCCAGCTGTGGTGATATGTTTGAAAATGGTAGTTTCCTGAGACGTAGAAAGAGATTCAAGGTGATGAAATCTGACCACCTGGCCCCTACTAAGCCATCAGAGGCAGCACAATACCTGCAACAGCAAGCAAAACTTAGACTAAGTGCTCTGGCTGCCTCAGGTACCCACTTGCCACAAATGTCAACCTACAACCTTGGAGTCTCTCAAACATCCAGCTTCAAACACCCTTTTGCCATTGAAAATATAATTGCAAGAGAGTACAAAATGCCAGGTGGACTTGCATTTTCTACAATGCAGCCGATGTCAGCTGCCTATCCGCTTCACAACCAATTGACTACAGTTGGCAGTTCCATTGGCACAGGTTGGCCACATATGTACAGCTCCAGTATGATAGACACTACCACCCCTATATCAATGGCTAACAGTGATTACAGTGTGAGTGCCTATGGGATGCCAATCAAGCCACTTTGCCATGGAGGACAAACTTTACCTGCTATCCCAGTACCTATTAAGCCTACCCCAGCAGCTATACCAGGGCTTCCAGCACTCCCAAACCATATCTCAGCTATTCTGTCGAACTCTTCTCCATCTTTAAGTCCGACATCTCCTCAAACAGCAACCAGCCAAAGCAGCCCTGCCACCCCTAGTGAAACTCTCACTAGCCCTTCTACTGCTCTACTCTCTGTAGCTGTACACTGACCTGCTGGACTATAAAACTCAAACCATCTCTCTAAAGTTTACTTACCTTAATGCTCACTTAAATGAAAGAAATGTCATTTCAAAATGGGTTTATTATTTCATGTGAACTGTTTCAGTTGTTTATCCAGTGTGGATTTTTTTGTCACTTATACATCCTCATACACTTGAATCCATTTTGCTGCATAGCAGTGCCATTATTTAAAATAATTTTGCACATCTTTTATTAAACATATTGCAAAAATAAAGGGCAGGCATTTTCAGGTAGCAGTTCAGGAAGGTAGTTTCCACAGCACATTAAAAAAAAGACATTTAAAATCATCCAGGGATTGCATTGGATTATAGTTTCCTTAAAGTTTGCAATCAAAATGCTTTACTTCAATATTAAGCCTTTTTTTCTGGAGAATGTGCTGTCATATAGAATACGCAAAGAGTTTTTATACTTTGCTTGTACTTGCAGTTTATTATATACACTTATGAAGGTGTTCAGCTATATTAAAAACTGTACAACAACTTTCTTACAGATGAGATTCATCAGATTTGAAAATTTCAACACAAAGGACAAAACTGTTGTAGAAATTAACTGAACATTAACACAGTATGGCTAAAAAAAATGTTGTTTACACAAACACTGCCCTAATGTAAATATTGAATTTTGAACTAAAGAATTAGCTGTACTTGTTGGTTGCCAATAGTATTAATTGAGAGGCACTGGGTGATCAGTACTAGTCACTGGATTTAAAATACATACCTATTTATTTGACTTTTTTAAGGGGGAAATCACAAAATGCCCTGTCAAGTTGGATACACAATTTGACTAATATTTTTAAAGGTCCCTGCAGAATGTGCAGTAAGGAGGGGAATGTAAATGTAATATGTGAATAAGAATGAATATACATTGTGTATAATGCACTTTTAATTAATGCAATCTAGTTTTCATTGAGACAATTTGCTAAGGTTTACAAATCCAAAAATACATTGTTGCTCTTTGGTAAATTTAATTTAATTACAAATAGTCCTACTGTCATCTAAACTGTGAAGAAATGGCCACAAAATTTCCTTGTTGTACAAAAGGCATGACATTTGCGTATTTTGATGTTATTATTCACAGCATGTGTGTATGTCAGACTACAAAAATATGTGTCTGCGTTAAATTATGAACCTAGTCGTCCAAATAATATTTTCTCATTAAAATGTTAATTCTGTATGAGTGTGTGTCTTTTTATTTTTTCTATGTTTTATATTATATGTTATATATAAATACATATCTGTGTGTCTGTGTATGTATATACACACACACACATATATACTGTGGGGTCCATTTACAACCAATTCCCAGAGCCTTTCACCCTGCAGATCTTTTTCAACATTCGCTTTGACTGAATAGGCACAAAAACAAATGTTCTTAGATATATTTTCTGTTCAGGTCAATTATATGTATTGTAATACTGCAGTATAGCCACTAGAGGGAGCAGAGGAAATAACTACTTCCTGTGCTCCTCTGCTCCATCTA